AAAAAAAAACAATACTAGGTATGCTCAAACTGTTGCAATACAAGTGTTGATTGAATTTTAAGTGCAGGGGGGATTCTCTTATAAATACTTTTGGTGCCCTCTAATAAAAGAGTTGGAGCTACTTTTGTTCTCTAATCATCAACTTCTTGGCGTGGATAAATCCAATACAGGTTCATCAATTCTTCTTCTTGTCTCTAGCTGCTGCCAGTGAGACTTTTTTCCTAGGTTTCTCTGTAACATCTTGTTCCCTCTATCATTTTCCAATAAGGCATCTTAGGATGTTAGGATATGAATATAATATGGTGATAGCCTATACATCTGCACATTGCTTGGCTGTCTCTGTATCTTTCTTGAAATGTGTTTTATCTTTCATTTCTTGTTAATTGTTTTTGTTTTTTTTAACTTGGGAGACCAAGTTGTAAAAGGTATTTCAGCTGAATGATACATCACAGACCTTGTGCCCAGCTTCCTGGAACTGAACACTGGTAACAAGTACACATAATAAAGAATGATGAAACCAGTTCAGTTTGCCTCAGAATATTTGCTGTGTGGATTTAACTGTTTCACCAGCAGCCAGTGTAACTTCATGAACCCTGTAAAAAAAATTCAAGTGAAATAAAATTCATTTTTTTATGTAGAATGTGACTTGTCTTTTTTTCTTCACTTGAACAGGTACAGATTTTTTACCAAATAACATATTATTGAAAAGTTTGTCTTCTAGGTTTCTTAGGAAGTACAGATACTCCTTGAGTTACTAACATAACTGAATCTGGAACTACAGTTGTACATTGTTGTGGTCATAGATTGAGGCATCGTGTGATTGGACCTGATTTTTTTGACATTTTTGTGGTTAATAAGTGAATACCATGGGCATTAAATGAATCTATTTTCCGCAGTGGGTGTTTCTGCCAGAAATAAATGTCACAAATTGCTGTGATGTGACTGGGATCCTGCAAACAACTATAAAGTGAGCCTGGTTGCCAAGCACCCAAAATGTGAGCGTGTGGCTGGGGTGCGGTGTGGGTTCGATGTGTAGCTTTTTGAGGGAGTCTCCTGTAACTGCTAAGCGACCAACAGGGCTACCTGTATAGGTAGATCAGCTGAAGTAAATTGTTAGCCGTTGGGAATAAAAATGGAGTGATTGAATCCGTAACTTGGTTCTTGGCTGCAGTGGCCTTCCGGGGAGGCCTCCGATGGCGAAATGCAGGCCGGAGCTCCGTTCTCAGCTGCGGAAGGAAGCTGCTCCTTCGGCGGCAGAAGAAGTGGGCCGGTGAGGCAAGTGTCCATCCATGGGAGACCTGGCTGCAGTGGTAAGCTCCCGTCCCAGCTTGATTTTTAGGCGTGCATCTCATCCCAAAACTAGGGCTTAATTTTGGGTAGGGCTTATATTAGGCCCACCCCCCAAATCAAGCTAGGGCTTATTTTTGGGGAAACACAATATTTTTTTTCCGTTTAACTTATTGTGACCTAGAAAAAATACAAGATATGGTTAAGTTCCAATCGATGTTCAAACAGGGTGGATCCCCCGACATGTAATCCTAAAAGAAGTGGGCTTTAAATTAATGTAACCGTATTTGTCACTCAACACATAGGCAGAACTGTGGCTGGAAGTTCTATCATAAAAATGTACCAGCACACTTAGCAGTTCCTGCAGCCCTGGTTGTTGTCACCTGGGTGCTTAAGCAAGGCAATTCCCTGCCAGCTTCCCACAGCCAAAATCCTTGGGGGGGGGCTGGGGGGAAGTTGCCAGTCCCAGGCTTGCAGGCAGGTAACCCGCTCTGCCCTGTGGGGGAGGAGGTGCGATGTAAGGGGGTGTGAGAGATGCCCTGTGAGTCAGGGAGAGTGAACAGGTGGGGGAGAATTAAAAACCTGCAATTTTGGTTTTTATTTTTGTAAGCTGCTCAGAATCACAGAGTAAGTGGGCGGCCATATAAATAAACTCCCTGCTCACCTGGTTGATTTTTCTGGAGATGTGCACAAGGAAGGTTGCAAATGGCGATTGTGGGGTGGTTGGCAACTGGTTGTAAGTGCAAGTGGATTGCCAAGCATCCAAGGTGCGATAAGGAGGTTGTGGGGGTGCTGGGACAGCCCGAATTCCAATGCCTGGTCATAACTACCATTCACTTGGCGTCATAGCTTGGAATGGTTGCTGGTTGAATGTCGTAGATTGAGGACTCCCTGTACAGGAAAGCAGTTCTCGTATGAAGAATGTTTGATTGAATTTGTTTCTTAGTAACATACATTGCAAGTCTACAAAAAGCTCATTTCATTATTCATAAGCAAGTTTTATACAGAAAATTAAATATTGACAAAGGTTTTGACATGCCATTGTAGTAATGCTTATCTGTTAACATCAGATCTGTCATAATGGCCACATCTCAAAAAACGTGTTCCTTTTTGACACAGTAAAAATGCAAACTCTCATCCGAGAAATCTTGCTTATTAGTTGCTATCAGTCGGACGGAGTCCCTATTTGCAAGCAGAGGGAAAGACGGCCATGCGTAGATTCAGTCTTCATCTTGCTTCACTTCCGATTTGCAGAGTTGCCCGTACATTTCTAAGCAGCCTCTGAGAATGGAGAATGAGTTACGCAGCTACATCAGTTCTATGTTACAAAAGACAATATATTGCAAAATAACATTTGCTCTTGGGGTGCTTTGAACATAAACTCCTCTAGATCCTACTTAGAATGAAACCTGACAGTAGGAAAAGTTATCTAACCATATTTATATCAAAGCAGGATATCTTTATTCACTATAATTTGAATATTGTACAAAAAAACCCCGTCTGTACACATAAAATAATTAGATCATATGCTAATTATACCATGGTTTTTCTAAATATTCTGTACAGAGCGAGATGCTACAGTAAGAGAGGCTCTTAGGCTATACTCGTAGCCCAAAGGCCAGGAAGCGAAGTACAAAGGTAGTAAAAATAGGAAATCAAGACTTCTGGCCCCAATTTTCAAGCCCTTCTCTATTAATGGTGTTTTCTTCCTTATTTTGCTTTTACGTGGATACTGGATCAAAGAAATGAAACTTACTTGTAAATGGACAGTTCTTGATGTAAACTGGCTTTCAGTTCTTCTAATTCTTGGTTCTTTCGTTGCTGAAGTTGAACTCCAGTCTTCAGTTCCCATATCCTGTTTTCCATCTCCTCCACTTGCTCCTGGGAGCAAAAAAGGACAGGTAATCCCAAGAGTTGGGATCGTATTGCTAAGCAAGGCAGTTATTACTAGAGTCCTATCTGATTTTATGATCTTTTTTGCCAGAGTTCAGTGAAGTATGCTGCTAATCCAACCAAGCTTCCCCCAATAACTTGGCTTGTCAGAATCCAGCTGTGAAAATCACAAAGGGTGATCAAACGATCATGGCACACTTCAGCCATCCCAAATACATGCCAGTTGCCAAGCCCCCAAATTTTGATCACATGATTGCTGCCCAGGTGGTCAATGTTGAGGGCTGGTGATAACTTTCTTCAGTGTCATTTTGAATGGTTGTTAAATAGCACAAGGCGGCCAGTCTGGCCCTCCCCCAAATGCCTTGGAGGCTGATCTGGCCTTTCCCGGAGGAAAGCTGTCAGACTGGGAGATTCCTGTATTATGGGCAGAGAACAATAAAGTAACTCGTTTGAACCCCGCATGGGTCTGGTTGTTTGAGCCTGACAACACACAAAGCTAATGTTCCAGAGCAAAGCATTATGGAGCTATTCTTAAAGTGGGTTTTTTCCCCTTCTTAACCAGTTGATTCACTCACCTGCAGCCAGGCTCCCTCCACGATCGAGTTTAGCTCAAAACTCCTTTTGCCCTGCCGAGCTACCTTGCTGGGCAAGGGCTGCATCCCGTGGCCCAGCAGCTAACCAGAAGAGGGTGGGTGGAGGTCCTAAGGCTTACCTTGTATTGCAGGACCTCTTCGTCGCGTTTCTGCCTGATCAGCAGAATCTGTTCCTCCAGGTTCCTGTTTTGCAGGAGCAACTTGCTGACTTCTCCCTGCAACGGCCTCAGGGTCTCCTTCAGCCTGTGGACTTCGCTCTGGGTGGTTTGCAAGGCCTTCCTGCTGGCTTCTCTCCTCTCCAGGAGGCGCACCAGCTTCGGTTCGTAATGCTCCTCCAAGCACTGACGGTTCTCCAGGACAAAACTTTCAAATTCCATGGAAAGCCGCCGGCTCTCTTGGAGGTGACGGCTGCTCCCCTCGTGGCGTGGAGCCTTCAGCCTCTGCCTAAAGTGTTCCTTCTCTGCCTCATAAGTCTCTTTCAACTGGGTCAGCTCTTCTGAGAGCTGGCTGGCTCTGTTTTCCAGCTCTCCTTGGTAGTCCACGTCTTGAGCGACTTCATACCTCCTGGCTTCCAGCTGATACTGGCACACCACGCATTCCCGCGTCACCCTAAATAGCTTCCGCTTCACCTGCCGAATCTCATCCCACAGGTTATCCTTCTCTAGCTCTACTTTGGCATGGAGCCTGTAGGCTTCCAGAACCTCTTCGTGGGCCCGTTGCAGTTCCTCAAGAGCCGGCTGGCGTAAGAGTGTGAGTTCCTTAATGAGCCAGTCCCTCTCCTCCTCCAGCTGCTCCACTGCTTCAATGCACTGCTGGAAACGCTCGCCGAGATCTTCCAGGTCTGCATGTTGGCTCTCAGCGGCAGCCAAGTCTTGGCAAGTCACGGAACCCTGAAGCCCCAGAGAGGCCCCAGCAATTTCTGGATTTTGTGGGAATTGAGTGCTAACGGGGTCCACGTAGAAGAGCTCGGGGACATTTTCTTTGTTAAATTCTGGCAGGGCTCCTGCATCGGCAATATTCAAGGTTTCTTCACTATCCTGCTCCACTGGAAGCTCAAACTCTGCCATCTCTTCCCTGGAAATAGAGAGGAAACTGTGAATCAGATCTGGGGAAAGAGGCACATCCTCGTGCCAAATGGATGCCCTGGCTCTGTGCTGCAAATAGAGAAGGAAAGGGGGGATTTTAAAGACATTAAATCATGCCATAAAAGGACTTTTGAGGGCATCGTTTAGGAAAGGAGGATTTGAAAGGGAATGGGAGTGGCACGGTGTTCCTGCTGTGAAAATATTTAAAAAGCTTTCTTTCCCAGCAGTTCTGCTTTGAATTACAGTGCTTTAAAAACTGAAATCCTTTTTCCGAATGTACCAGCCAAGAGGCTGGCCTTGCATCCTGGGGCCCCTTCCTGATCCCTTCCCCACAAAGCTCAAAACAGCCACCATATTATTTGATGCTCTAGTCTAAGCCATCATCTGCACAGCCTCAACATGTCGTCATCCTGGAGCAGGGAAAGTTCTCAGCAGAACGATTAACTTTTCAGTTTCTGGGAAGGGCCTAATGCAGAGGAGAGACGGGCAGGCAGAATGTCTTAAGTACTTCCTAACAAGTTAGCCTGGGGAAAGCATAAAATGACGCCAACCCCCCCCCCCCGGCACGGGCGCCTGCCACAGAAACGCAAGTATGTGACCTTTATTCATTTGTCTATAGTTTAATTTAGTCCACTTATATGCCACTCGTCCGGCCTGCCTTTAGACAGCACCTGGGCTTAGAAAAACAAACGGAAGAGTTTCCTTTTCTAAGCTCTCTCTGGGTTGCCCCTTAACAGTCAGCGGCACCGGAGAGGAATATGAGAAGGACAGGAGAGCAGGGCACAGGGTAATTCTCAACTTGTAACCATTCGTTTAGCAGCCACGTGAAGGTACAAAAAGAAACACACCACCCATCCCCACACTTAACAACCCTTGCACCATCCCCAGGGTCACATGACCCAAACCAACCAACCCCCCCCCCCCGTGCTCCACAACCAGCAAGGGACTCAGGGCGGTTGCAGGGTCTCCCTGGGCTCTGCCTGATCTCCCTCTGCCATCTTCCAACCAGCAAAGTCAACGAGGGAACCCTGATTTGCTTAATGACCACGTGATTCGCTGAACAACTGCTGGGATTTGCTTAGCCCCTGGGGCAAAAAAGGCCGTGGAATGAGGCATGCCTCACTTAACAGCCACCTTGCTTAGCAACGGAATTTCTGGTCCCAGTTGTGGTTGTAAGTCAAGGATTAAATGTGCATTATTTTTTCCCTAGAAAAGAGTTTTTGTGCATCAAAGCAGCCCAGGAATCTGCAGGCTAGCAGGGACTGTAAATATCCCACCCTTCCTCTTCCCGGGAGGAGGCAGAAGAGGGGGCTTTGGGCCAAGGAATTCTTGGCTGACACTCCTCAAAGAACCAAGGGCTTTAGAAGCAGAGAGCAGCTTCCTTAGGAGAGCCATGATGGAAGTGGGTAGGGACAATAAGAGGCCTCACATTATAGTTTTTGACAGTTTTAACTCTGCTTCTACTCGTGCCTGTCGCTTTGCTCAGCTCAAGGACTGCCAGCGCTCACTGGTGGCCAGTTAAGCCTCATGCAAGGATGTGGCTGTTTTCCTAAGTCTTTATTCCAATAAACATCCTTTCCTTTTTGTGAGCATTGAGTTTTGATTTGCAGCGTGGCATCCACACTGCTGGGGCTCCTAACCCTGGTGTAATAGGAGAGACCTTTTGTCTGAGGCGTGGGCAGTTCCTCCTCTGTCAATAAACATCATCGGCAGCTGTTTTGAGGTCAGAATCTTTATGTGGAAAAATATGGGCAGTTGCTTTAAATGTTTATGTAGTCACCCAGCCCATCTTGCGTAGGAGGACTCCGGTCCAAGCAGAAAAGTGACATAAATTAGCACAACTGAAAGTATTTTGGTGTCTGAGACACAAATGTGTACGTTCTCCTTACTTGGCAACATTTTTTTTTAAAATAAATATTGATCCAAGCCATTAGTGGTTCTAAGATGTTATGTGATTTATTTAGCATTGCTGGCTAGGAATCCAGCAAATTTTAATCTCAGTGTATCTGGACAGTGCCAGGTTTTGGAAACCTGAGTCAGTGTTTATGTAATTCCAAATACTTAAGCACCCTCCAATTTATGCTGGGTTTTTTTCTGCCGAATGTATGCAACTTCCACTTCCCAAAGTGTTTGCATTTCTTTCCATATTCTTCTAGTCCTCCCTTGGCCCACAGTGGGATTAACCCAAAGTGGACAGGGTTGTTTCTCTTCTTCCCGTTTGCCTTCATGTTCTTCCTCTTCCATCCTTTCTGTCCCATCTCAACTTGACTGTAATTCATGCGTGACAGAAACTCACTGGCTCCGTTCTCTCTCAGGGGACACCGCAAAGCCCCACCACTTTTTTTACCGACTCCAAATCCACTATGATGTCCTCCATTCGGCTCCTGGTTCAGAGGGAAACGGTTTGGGCAAGCCAGAAAACCGCGCTAGCCACGAGTGGGGAAGTGAGTCGGGAGGACGACGTACCTGCGAGCAGGACAGCCGGGAGGAGTTGTAATACGGGGTGTCACTTGGTAAGTAACAAGCACGTAGGAACGAATGGGACAAATGAAACATTTAGCAGTGAACAGGGAGATAACATTCCGGGAGAACGGGTTTTATCGGACCGACCAATCTGAGCAGCTTAGTCGGGCTTCAAGCAGGCTCGACCGGCCGCCGAGAGCTCACCGATTCCCGAAACGCGGCCTCGGTGAATCAGCAAGGCCGCTCCGCACAGCGACCGAGCCCCGCACGACGGCCGCAGCCAAGATCTCTCCGGGCTGGAGAGCCGAGAGGCGCTTGGCAGGGAGGGAGGCTGAGCTCCGGCTGCTCCAGGCGGGCGGCCGAGGGCGAAGAGAGCCGAGCCCCCTTCCCCCGCCCAGCAGCTGCCGAGTCGACCCGGGCAGGAGGGAGGCGGGCCAAGCGGCGGGCCGGGCGCGGGAACCGAGGGCGCCGGCAACAGGTCTCGCCTTCCGCTGCGCCCGGGAGAGAGAGCGGGGGGGGGGGGG